ATATGAGTGAAAGAGCTTTAATCTAATAGGACTCCCTACAAGAAGAGGACATTAGGACACAGACATGCATTAGGAGAAGGTAGCCATCTGTTAGACAAAGAGAGAGGCCTTGGAAGAAACGAGCTCTGCCAACACCTTGATCTTGGACTTCTAGCCTCTAGAACTGTGAGGAAGTAAATTTCTGTTGTTTAAGGCTTCGGTCTGTAGTATTTGCTACAGCAGACCTAGCCAACTCACACAGTAAGGGTGTGGGATAGCAGCAGATTGGAGAGACTGAGGAAAATGAGGATGGTGTGAAAGAGTTCTGATGGGGAGGTCAGTGAAAGCTAAGGAAATGGTTCCCGAAGAGATGGTGGCCCAGCTCACCTTATAGATTGTGGGTGGACCCATGACTTTTTTTCTCCTGCAGTGTTTGCTAGGGCAGCAGGTTGAACCTGGGCTGTGTTTGGGTTCTGACACCAGGGGACTCACGGGTCAGGAGAGTGGGAACTTCCAGATTGGCTGAGGGCAGGTGAAATGACTGGCCAGGGGCACAGGCTCAGGGAGACAAATGAGGCCAGAGAGGACATGCTCCTCTTCTTAATCTAGGAGATTAAGGAGAATTCTGGAAAGGGAAAATAATTGGATGATTAAATGTGAGGGAGTGGGAGTTTGGAAAGGACAGAAAGACTGTATCACAGAAGGGTAGTGGGCTTGGAGGTATGCTCCTGGTTTAAAAATAATGGACAGAACTTTGTCATAACATGAGAGGACAGAATAGAATGGTACAGTGTCAGATTTCCCCATGGAGAGTTAGGGTAATGGTATTCTCCAGCTTCCAGGGGTCTGTGTTTTAACAGCAATGTACTTCAACATCCTGGATGGAAGCCTTCATTGTTGGGTGGATATGTGAGGCCTTGGACCCCTAATGTCTTGCCTAAAATTATTATGCTTTAGTGGGGCTAGAATCTATGTCTCTTAATTTCCAGTTTAGGACCCTTGACAACACTGTTCCCATCAGCAGGGCCATGGTAGTGAGGGCACTGGCACCCTCCCTCCACAGAAAGATCACGTTTAAGAGCCATTTTCTCACCCCCTCTCTGGGATGAAGCCCATGAATTCACAGAACTCGTGACCAGGCAGGTGAGACTATGAACCACATGATAGAGCTGCTTCTTAGACTCAGACTCTATGGCCCAGACCTGACTATAGCCCCAAAATCATCCCTAAGTGCTTGGAGAGGAATGGAAGGAAATGGGAATTAAATATCTTGGGAATGTCATCAACTCAGGCCATTTTCTGTCAAATCTCTGCTTTAGGTGATTTTCTACATTTTTCTTAAAGATATTCACATGGCTCACACCTGTAATCCCAGCACTTTGGGAGGCTGAGGCGGGCAGATCACGAGGCAGGAGATAGAGACCATCCTGGCTAACACGGTGAAACCCTGTCTGTACTAAAAAATACAAAAAAATTAGCCAGGTGTGGTGGCGGGCGCCTATAGTCCCAGCTACTCTGGAGGCTGAGGCAGGAGAATGGCGTGAACCCGGGAGGCGGAGCTTGCAGTGAGCCGAGATTGTACCACTGCACTCCAGCCTGGGCGACAGAGTGAGACTCTGCCTAAAAAAAAAAAAAAAAAAAGATATTCACAGATTCCAGTTACTTTTGCAATAACCAATCATACCCCAAGTCTAGGAAAGAGCCTGGCACCAAGCAGGCACTAATTAAATGTTTGTTGAGCTTTTATCGAATGCTCAAGTCTTACTACCTGGAAGTTCTTCCTTATATCCTGCCACCAATGTGTTTCTTTTTTTTTTGAGACGGAGTCTCGCTCTGTCGCCCAGGCTGGAGTGCAGTGGCCGGATCTCAGCTTACTGCAAGCTCCACCTCCTGGGTTTATGCCATTCTCCTGCCTCAGCTTCCCGAGTAGCTGGGACTACAGGCGCCTGCCACCTCGCCCGGCTAGTTTTTTGTATTTTTAGTAGAGACGGGGTTTCACCGTGTTAGCCAGGATGGTCTCGATCTCCCGACCTCGTGATCCGCCCATCTCGGCCTCCCAAAGTGCTGGGATTACAGGCTTGAGCCACGGCGCCCAGCCAATGTGTTTCTTATAGTGTGGTTAGCTAATGGTTTCCGTATTCCCTAGCAACAGTTCTTAGCTTAGGTGTCAAAACACAGTAGTTTGCCTCATCTGTTTTGAGGTACACTGCAAGTAATTTGTTACCAATAATAAAACATTTTGTAAAATATTTTACTCGTCCGACCCGGGTATAGGGGTGAAAGACTAATTGAACCATCTAGTAGCTGGTTCCCTCCGAGGTTTCCCTCAGTATAGCTGGCACTCTCGCAAACCCAATCTCCCACGCAGTTTTACCCAATAAAGCGAATGATTAGAGGTCTTGGGGCCAAAATGATCTCAACCTATTCTCAAACTTTAAATAGGTAAGAAGCCCGGCTTGCTGGCATGGTGATTTTGTAAAATAGAGAAAATTTGAAAGAGTGCTTATCGTAACATCTCTCTTGCTTTACTTGCATTTCAGTTTGCTTTCTTGAGTGGGAGGGCAGTGGTAGAGTCACAGCTGGATTACAGGGGATTGTGTATCACCTCTGTTAAGGCAGCGAGTGTGTTTGGAATATGTCACTTTCACCTGAGAGTGTCCTAAGAAGAGAAACAGTTATGAGACTTGCCATTGGAACATGCGTTCCTCCACATGGAATAGATGGCTACCTCTTTAGCTTTCTCCTTGCCAGGATAAACATTCACAGATCTGCCCAGTGGCTGGACATTCAGCACATTCCTGAAGAGCATTTTAATTGGCTGAGTGGGTCTCTGAGGACCTGCCCCCATTAGCAGGAGAGCGATTCCTGAATGTTGTCCAAACAGAGCAAGTGCAGCTGTGTCCTAACAACACAGTCCTGGGGACCTCTGAACCACATCTCCCTCCGCAGCCTTGGCTATTTCAAAGAGATCATTAACAAGGTGGAATTGGGTGCCCAGAGGGTCACTGCACAATATACATTGCTACTGTCTTTTAATGGACTTTCCCCAGACATGGTGATTCTTAAACTGCAGCATCGGCAGCTGCTAAGGCCAGGGAGGGCCATGCTGTCTGCAACCAGAGCCACCCTGCCAGTCCTGTCGAAGCAGAGCTGAGCTTGGGCAGATGGATCAGGCTTGAAGAGGGGAGGAGGGGAAGTGGGTTTAAGGGGAGGAGGCATCAACAGAGAAGCTAGGCAGCCCTCAGAGGACTTTATTATTGATTTAGCATGGGAACTGAAAGTGGCAGGCAGGCAGGTGGCAGGGGCGGGCAGGAGGCGAAGACAGGTGTAGGCAATTGTGGGCAGTGATTAGCTGGGGTGGTGCAGATGTGGCTGGGGGTGTCAGCTGGTGGAGATTAGCATGGGTGCTTCTGAGAAGTGTTGCATCAGATGGTGGTTTCACAGTCCAGATGTGAGAAGCCAGTGGTCCCTGCCTTCCCTGCTTCTGTACCCCTTTATACTCTCCCTACTCTGCCAAGCATGCACTTGTACTTTCACCTACCCTGCCACAACCACCCCTTTCTGGGCATTCCTCTCTAGGTGAAGGGTATGGACATCAGATTGTCCTCCCCTCAGTCTTCAGTTTTTCAGCCAAGTTCTGAGATGACGACACGGACTGAACACCCTCAGACACCAGGCAAGACGAAATCTGCATGATCGGTCAGTGCAGTCATGCTTATTCCCATGAGAAATGCACCTCGTGACAGAGGACTTTTATACCCCTGTGTCTACTTTGCCTGTCCCCCTTTTTATAACCTGCCTAAAATTTTTATTAATATAAATATTCATATGTGATTACGATATACACAAAAAGTAAATATGCCAGCATAACTCCCACCTAGATCAAGAAATAGAAAATTCCCAGCACTCCCCACACTCCACTGGGCCCCGTTCTACCCACCAACTTCTACCTTTGTCTCCAAAAGTGATCACTTGACTTAAATCACCATAGATTCATTTTGGCTCTTTTGGAACTTTATATAAATGGACGCATACACAGTACATTATGTTGTACCTACCTCTTTTTTGCTTAATAATATGTTTGTAAGCAATAGTTGGTTCTTCTTCATTGCTGCATATTATCCTATTTCTGCGTAAATCACAATGATCAGTTCCAGTGTTGAGAAACATTTGAGTTGTTTCTGGATTGGGGTTCTATGAATAATGCTATTCTGATCACTTTAACAGGTCTTTTAGTGGTTATACACATGTATTTCTACATAGCTAAGAGTGAAATTGCCAGAATCATAGGGCATGGGTATATTCAACTTTAGTAGAAACAAATTGGTAGAAAGCATTTTGCAAAATGATAGTGCCATGTCTCTACTCTGATATCTCGGGACTGGCTTGCCCTCAGCCAGAGGCCCAGGAGCTGGTAGGAAACTAGCCACCATCAACAGCTGCCTGTCTCGGGCATTCTGTAGGACCCACTGTAGGACTTTTGCTCACCCATTTCAGCACTTGGTTCCTTACATTCATCCTTTTCTAAGTCTTGGCGCTTACAGACCCTCACACCCTATAACCATTTCAGGTGCTCCCTGCATTGATGACCCCTTTAGATGTGGCTTCTGTGACTTACTGACCAGTTTATCTGCTCAATTAAGCTCGCAACTACACTCCTACTCCATTCCACAAAGTTGGATGAGATGCATTCCAGTTTGGGCTCCACAGAGCTGATTCAGGCCAGTGCTAGTTTCTAGCCTCTCTGTTAGAGAGTGCAGGATGATTGGAGGTGGAGCTTGTCACACCGAGAAGAGAAGCAAGTGAACTGTAAGACAGGCAAATCAATGAAATTGGCATTTTTCTTTATTAATGGGCCCAATTTGTCCTGGGTTAATGGCTATTTACAAAGTTTCAAGATGCCTAGCCCTTTGAGTTTTATGGCATCTTGACCATACTTTCTTGATATAGTGTGTGTGTGTGTGTGTGTGTGTGTGTGTGTGTTGCTATCTCACAGCATCTGTTTATTTCCATGTCCGCAGCAAAGTGCTGGGTACACAGAAGGACTATGTGACGAAGCGCCATCACATGGCTGGTAGCCTGTGGTGAGTCACCGGACTTCTCGACTCCCACGTCACTGGGGTGGAAGGAACAGTAACCACAATGCTCCACAACTCGGGCTGCACCCGTATGATTGGAAACAATCTGTGAAGTGAGTCATATCAGTTGCAAAAACAATTAAGTCAGTGGGAAAAGAAAATCAGTAAAACTGGTTATTTGGCTTGATGAAAAGAAAGCAGTCCATTGTTTGGTTACATTTTTCACTTCCCAGCTGGTCATTGTGACACTAACTGAGGCTGGGCTTGCCTACACAAATGCTTTCAACAGTTTTGACCAGGACTATGTCTACACATCTCTAAAACCATCTGGCACGTTACTCAATGGAGTCAAATAGTCCATCAACTATTTGCCTCAATAGTCATTTTAGGCTCATGACCATTTTATGGAGACCCTATAGAAAACTACCATAGACATTTTCAAGAAAGACAAGACTTTGAGGGTACAATCCCACTCCTATTGCATTCTGTGTCTGGGAACTCAGTGACTTCAGGCAGTTCTAGGTAATATCTGCTACTGGGAGTGGGAGGCAGACAGGGGTTAGGTGGAGTTCAGAGCTGTGAAATGCAGAGATGATTCCCCCAAGTCATGCTGACTGAACGCTTTACTTTCATCCTAGATTGTGGAGTGAACGACTCCGAAGAAACAGACTTCTAATTCTAGCCTTTTGGAGATTATTAACCCAACTCCCAGATTTTAGAGATGAGGAAAGGGAGGCCCAGGGAGGTGGGGATACATGTCCAGGATCACAGAGGTGATAAGTGAGTTTGCTTGGCTAAGTTCAACTGTACCTACTTGTCTCCAGAGACTGCTCAGGAACTAGAACACCCTGATACAACATAGGCACCTGTGATGGAGATACTCCCTCAAAAGTGGAATGGGGCATGAAGGAGAATTGTCTCCTAAAAGCTGGGAAGTTTCTCCTAATCCTTTTTAGGGTACCTTCCCTGTATCCCAACTGCTCTTCAACTGCCGGAACTCATGTCAGTCTCCAAAGAACAGTGTCCAAATGTGTATGATGCCACATTGGCTGAAGTGTGCTCTAATTGTGCAGATATTCCCATAAATGCTATTTTATTAAGCTGAGCTACACTAAATCTGTCATCTCCATAAGTAATACCACAGCAAATCTGTAGATAAGTTCAGAACACTGCAGTGAGCCATGCTGGGCTATTAGTTTCAATTCAGCGCTGTTTCCTGTAAGTTACAGCATCTCAGGGGCACAACTTAGGCACTGAGTAATAAGATTTGGTTCCTTCCAGATGCCCTCAGCTCCCCAAAACAACAGAAATGATCAAAGACAGAGGCAAGAAGACCAGAGAACCCTAAATGTTTACTGTCTCTAAAGTGTTTGGAAACAGCTTGGACCAGTGTAGAGTGCTGGAACAGAGAATCAAGAGCATCAGGTTCGATTCCCACCCTTATGAACTGCTCAGCCTATGAAAATTACTTTGTGTTTCAGGCCTCACTCTTGTCATCTTTAAAATGGCAACACATATACACACCCCTCCGCAGTAAATACAGAAGTTCTGCAAGCCAGGACGTTAAATACTTAGGATGAAAATGATGACGATTAAGTCTATTCTATCACTTGATCCGATTCTCTCTGACTATTCTGCAGGGGGTAATAACATGGCCTGCAGATGATCCATAATCCACCATCTTCTGGTGAAAAGAGATGAAAGGGGTGTGTGTGTGTGTGTGTGTGTGTGTGTGTATACACACACACAAACACAATTTTATATATGCACATTAACATTAATGTATATACATTTTATATACACATCAGTGTTAATATATATAAAATGTATATATACATTTTATGTATATAATGTATGTACCTATTATATACATATACATCTATATATAATGTATATACATTATATATACACACACACACATTAACTCCCTTTCCTGTTTTATCACCAGAAGATGGTGGATTTTATATATATATGTGTGTGTATATATATTATATATATGCATTATATAATATATAATGTCTCTACGTACATATAATGTGTATATATATGCATTATATATAATGTGTGTGTATGTGTCTGCCCCCAAAGAAATTTAAAATTAGTTGATATCTAAACACATTGTTGATGAACAAGGGTGACTAATTATCTACTTGCAGTAGAAAAGCCAGACTATTGTAAATGTCTTAGCACTTCACAGTATATTAGGAATGTTCTAGAGCGAGCTGGCAATGTTTAAATCAGATTCAGTCCCACATATTGCACTCCAAAATTGAACATGGGCCACCATTTCTGGGACAAAGCTGAGAGCGTTCAGAGGAGGCTGCCTCTGAAGGGATAAAATTGGGAGGCATTTGCTTTAACACACAAGCTTTAATTAGTTGTTACTCATTAGAGGAAATCACATTTCATAGCTTCTAAGAAATAAGGTAAACTTTTTCAAAATTTGATTCCATATCCAGGGGAATCTCTCTACACAGCCTTTTCATTTAATCATTGTAAAGTCTTCTCTTGCTTTTGTTTGTTTATTAACTTGAGAGGAAAACTGAGTTTGGAAAAGGATGTTGGAGGGACACAAGTCACAAGAAAGGTTTTCTAGACCCAGGGAAAATATGCTCGAAGAAAAATGTCTCCAACGAGCGTCAGCAGATATTAAATTACAGACATGTGCATGGTTTGTCCAGATTGGTTAGAGCATGTTTCTTTGCAGCAATAAAAAACAAGAGACATTAACAAGCCAATGATGTTACATGGAATTAAGTAGCATTCAAACGATGAAAGAGAAAATTAAGGAGCTAACCTTCCGCTGCCCAGGCAGTTTGCATGGTCAGTAAAAATGCAAGGCTTTATTTCCACCATCCATACCTTCAACAGGAGAAAGTAACTCTGGTGGCCCATGACCATCATATGCCCTTGGTCAGCTGTCCTGTCAGGACCTACCTGATGGCCTTGGGTGACTTAAATGGCCAGCTAAATGCAATATGTTTTGACTGTGAATCTTGCCTCTCATGGCGGTTCCCTGTCACCTCCCTGACGCAGGCAATGCCATATATCACTGCTGTTCTGCAGGCGCGCCACCCAGATAGCGTCTGAAAGATTGTAAACAGGATGATTCACAAACTGGTGGCAGCAGCTAAAAGCAGTGCAGTTCGCGACCCTCAGCACACGCCAAGATTCTAAATGGGATGGTGCAACAACAAAGCAGCCTGAAGATTCTAAAACACAATGGTGTCAGCAGGACATTCATAGGGTGCTGTAACCTGTAACTGACAAGCATACCCATCATTGTTTCTCCTGGGGCATGCAGCATCCTTGTGCTCCACTGGGCCGCCTGTTGCATTGCTGCTATTTATTTGCATCTACAAGCAGGGGAGCAAGTATGCTGCGGAAATAGCCCCAGAGAGGTGTCTGATTCCCATAGGCCCTAGCAGGCAGCTACAACTGAATGATTTCCAATATCAGTTACTGAAAATTCTGACCATGATATGCAGACCATCGCAGATCTTAATGACAATAATATCATCTCACATTTTGATGGCGTTTAACAGTTTACAAAGTGCTTTCACATACATTATCACATTTAATCCCAGTGAGGTCGATAGTCTTCTCCATTTTATTGGCAGCTTGGTGTAGTGGAAAGAGCTCTGGAGTCAGACAGACTTAAGTTCAAATTCTGGCTCTGACGACCAAACCATGGTCAATTTGCTTCATTTCTCTCCCTTTTCTTACCTATAGGATGAGGAATCGTTTCTATTTCTGAGGTTTGTGGTGAAAAATAACATATGTAAAGACATACAATATAGGGCATGATGCATAGAAGTACTCAATAATCATTAGCTTCTATCCACTTATAGAGGAAGAAAATGAAGCTTAAGAGGTTAGGGGAGTTGCTCAAAGTAATAGCTAGTAAATGGCAGAACTGAGACTTCATTTATTTTATAAATATTATTGAACACTTACTATATGCTGGTGCCTTGGGCATAGGAAAGTGGATGAGTCATAATTCTAGTTTTTGAGATGTTCACAGTAGAGCAGTGGAATCTGAAATGCAAATAATCAATTATAATTGAGCATGATCTGAGAGGCAAAAAGTACTTAGGGAATGTCCTAAAGCCATGGATGCATCCTACATTATCAACACAGGAGATAAGTCTGAGGAAGAGGAACCTTCCAGGAGGCAGCAGTAGAGTTACACCTGAAATAGAATGTTGGCAGGTGGATGAGGGTGAGCAAGGAGAGGAGCATTCAAGCGAAGACAACAGTGTGTGCATTCACCAAGAGGGTCAAAGGAGCCTGGCATGTCCACTGCAGCACAGAAGAGAACCTGAGCAGACAGGAGAGAGAGGAGCGGGGAGGAGGCAAGGAAGCAGCAGTGAGAAGAATGAAGGGGCTTGCAGGTAATGCTGAGAAGTATGCATCTTTGTCAGTCCACACTGGCACAAACTCTGTGATGATTTACAGAGAGAGCCAACCTGGTCAGATTTGCATTTTTGAAATTGTGGCAGCAATGTGAAATACTGACTGGAAGAGGAGATAATGGAGGCAGTAGTTCAATGAGAGATAATTAGGCTGTGAACTAAGAAAGTGGCAGAGCGGACAATTTCGAGAGGTATAGCAGAGGCAGAATTGACAGGATCTGGCAATCGATCGGATATCAAGGCAGGAGAGACAGAGAGGACTCTAGGAGGACTCCCAGGCTATTACTTTTGGTGGCTGGGTGAAAGAAGGTGTCCCCCACTGGCATAGAAGGAGAGGATGTTTGAAGAGATAACAATAAATTCATGTGGACATGCTGACTCTGAGAGATTCATGGATATCAAGAAGGAGGTGTTCAGTAGACAGCTAAAAATGAGTCTGGAGTTTGGGAGAGGACTCACGATTAGGTGCATTGATCTAGGGATCAATGGTTTTTAGACAATGGTTGAAGCTGTTTTTTTATGTCAAGAGGACACAGCAAGAAGAAAAGTGGGTCCTGGAGAACTCTAGGGAATATCAATGTTTAGGTGCTAGAATGAGGATTGTTAGAGAGATGGAACTACCAGGAGAAAGGGAGAGCTCAGAGGCCAGGGAAGGCAAGCGTTTTGTGATGATGAAAGTACAGGAAAGTATAAAATTCCACCAAAGGATCAAAGAAGATGAGAACTGAGATATTCCTGTGGTTTGGGTAATGATAAGATCACTTTGGCAACTTCAGTTTTATAAAAAGAGGTTAAAAAAATAGGCTTTTTTTTTTCTATGACCCAATATAAGAAAAATATTTTAGTACGGGCACGATGACTCACACCTGTAATCCCAACATTTTGGGAGGCCTAGGTGGGTGGATCACCTGAGGTCAGGAGTTTGAGACCAGCCTGGCCAACATGGTGAAACCCTGTTTCTACTAATAATACAAAAAAATTAGCTGGGCATGGTGGCATGTGCCTGTAGTCCCAGCTACTTGGGAGGCTGAGGCAGGAGAATCG